ATACAAAATGCTATGCAATAGCTTTACCGCGGCAGTCCCCGAGTGCCACGCGTCTTTTTTATATTTTTTATTTATTTATTTAAAATCAAATTGTAATATATGTTTCAATATTTTTATTTAATAAAAGAAAAAAATTGTTTTCTTATCGGTCACCACGCTCAAAAAGTGTAACTTGAATTAATATCAAAGAAAAAGAAATACTGCATAAATAAAATAAATAAATAATTATAATTGCATAAGTTGATACAAAATGCTATGCAATAGCTTTACCGCGGCAGTCCCCGAGTGCCACACGTCTTTTTTCTTAATATTTTTTTTATAACTTAAATCCTTCTCTTTATGTTTTTTTTCTGCTTTGTGTAGTTGATACATAGATTTATAATTTCCATTACTAAAATTGTAGTTAACTTAACTGACTGGCCGAAGTAGATGGTTAATAATAGCAAAAAAGAAAAAAATGTAATATGAACATATTCCTCGTTCGCATACCTGCCGCCATAGCTGATACCGTTGTATCAGAAACACAAATCAAAAATTAGGTAAAATTCGTCCGATAAGTCCGATATCTTAAAATTGTAATTTCTATGATATGGTATTTCATAGTGAAATCTATTAGAAATGATGGCAACTACAACCCCTTGAAGTATTCGTATTTAGGTCGACTTACCCAGTAACCCTGTATATATGAGTATGTATGAATCGGTCAACTGGCAGAGAATACCTTTGGCATTAAGGCTGCCGATACATGTATTTGTACTTAAAGTTATATAATATAAATAAATAAAAGTATGGTATATATATTTCGAGGATGCCTCAATAATTTCAGACCCGATGGGGAACCGTTATCAAGGAGTTAAGTGACTTTCCGCATTGGTGTCAGGTGCAGCATCGTCTGATACGCACCGGAAGGAAACTGAATATCACTTGCCACCAGGAGTACTTTAGTAGAATTGATTGCTAAATTACATCAAAATCTTTTTATTAAATCCACGGAACACCGTACTTAGTTATCTTACCATTAATTGTTAGTTTTACTGCAATGATTTATTTATTTGAAATAATTCTTAGGTTAAAAAACTACCTGGTCATCGGAGTGGGAATTATCTGCCTGGTACTAAGGCTACGGGTCCGGAGATGGCTTGCGGTTTTTGCTCGGTTCATGTCCGTCATAACCACCAGTGGGTGGGTGGGTGTTATCCGAGGGGATTCCCGCACAGACAAAAAAAAGGCTAAAAACTACCTTTCGTGTACTTCGGAATCAATTTACGATGTCAGAGGCCACAAAATATAAACAGTAATGTATCTTTACAAGGCATTTTAGGTTAAATTCGTTTTCTTCGTTAAGGTGTAGTTAGAACCCTCTTCGTGTACAAATGCTGTGAAGCAACCGCTGTGTTCACGCAAATATGCATATTGCCATGAATAAATTTCAACAAATCAAACATATTCACAATTTCAAACAATCACTTCAGCATGTAAGGAATTTCGGGCAACATAATCTTCTTGGAGAGGCTTATGCGAATCCTCTACAAATGAAGCCCCTGCTACGAAACTGCCTGTAGCGGTGTAGCACCTTTACGTTCACGGAGTTTCGCAATAAACGTATCAAACCTTTGACATCAGTGATCGGTATACGTCGAGCTACGTACGCATTTCAATCCAATTAAGCAAGTATTAATTACTGATTGTATTTCCTTAAATTTTCAAATGAATTACGGAGTTATGAGAAACTTTACGTTAAAACTCTCTCTTTCGTCCCTTAAATAGAAAACTAAACTAAACCTAAATTTAATTTATAACTTTCCATCAGGTGACCCGGCTGCTCGTCTGCCCCATCTAACATCAAAAAAATATTGACTAGTTAAATCTATCTAAAAATTTCAAAGTTTTGGCTGTTTTGTTGTTTTTTTTAAGTTTTGGTATTTCATCTAACACCGATTCAAAAATTTGGACTATTGACGTTTGCAATATAAATTTATACAATTCGTTTGTAATAACAGTTTATTCTTTACTTTAATCACTTTGACAACTAACATCATTTCGAATATTATATTCAAAAGAAAGTTAGAAGTATGGTTAGATTGGTCTAGTGCTTAGTGACCGTTGACCCAGAGGTTTTTGGACCAATTCACATTCAGGACAAATAATAGTGTGATAAGCAAGATCATTTGTTCTATCTCTGGATATAACATGTCTAAAATAAGTAAATAAATAAAAAAAAAGACGTGTGGCACTCGGGGACTGCCGCGGTAAAGCTATTGCATAGCATTTTTTATCAACTTATGCAATTATAATTATTTATTTATTTTATTTATGCAGTATTTTTTTCCTTTGTTTTTTTTTCTTTGATATTAATTAGATTGCGGGGCGAAGAGGGGGATTACGCATGCGCAGTAACGCCGATACAACCAATGCCACCTAGAGGCGAGTTGCTGAACTAAAGAGACAAGCCTGATATTTCAAAAAAGTCATTAAAAGTTCTGCTATTCATCGATAGATGGCAAAACTAAAAAGTATCATCACGTGGGGTGTGTTAGGTTATTTTCGTTACGGAATTTCTGGATTCGGTCTCCATGCTCAAGGGCCGCGATAGAAGCTATGCAATAGCTTAACAATTATTTTAATTTTAGAACAGATAACAAAAGAGATATATAACATTGAGTTCGAAAGTGACTCCAGTAGTTCAAAACTGTAGCGCATGCACATTATCTGTCTGATTGCACTATTATGCTATGTTGATTTAATGAGTTACAGTGAAATACTGACGTAAATACATTTACATTTGCACATCCACAGAGAAGCGTAGGTTGTGTCAGAAGGCCTATTACTCGATTGTGGATTATAAAGAAGACAAGAATGCTTGGGATTAATTTAGCACAGGCTATTTCTTAAGTGGACATGTGGTGGTATAGTGTGTTTTTTATTTATTTTTCTCATTTTTTGTGTTTTATTTCACTTTTAATACTATTTAATCTTTTCTTAATCTTGTTTTGTCTTCATTGCTTTGACCTTTTTTCTGCTTAACAACTGATGAACTGGCACACACATCAAAACAGTCTTTAAAAAGAGTGTAATTGAAAAACAGTACCCGTGAGTTTGTTTGCCCTTTCTTCTCATAATACTCAACCCCTTGAAAACGGGCGGTTGTAGATCAGCACAGACATATAATGGATTAACTTCATGTTTCTAAACATTTGACAAAACAGACTATTGCTATTGTATGTGTTGATTTATGATTTAAGATTCTAAGAGGATTTCAAACATTTTTTTTTATATTTTTTATAAAATAAAAATATTTTGAGTTTGAGTTTGACATTTAGTTTGGTTCAAGTGATTTAAGAAAAAATTTATAGGTTTGCTACTGTCTTAAACATTTAAATGAAATAGATATGTTCTGTTAATTCGTACAAGTCTTACGCCCAGTTACTAAATCTTTTATGAATGCCAACAAAAATCCGTCCCATACAAATCTTTTGAGTTACTAATAAAAAGAGGATACTAAAATTAGAATAAAAAAGTGGGCTGAAATGCAAGTATCTTGCCATATTTCATTCCGGGTGAAAAAAAAACGAACAATGTTAATAAAAAGACACAGCTTACACAATATAGCGTACCATTACTACCGTAAAATATTTAAATAAAACCGTTACTATTTTAAATATTGATTTCGCCATTTTGACACGCAATCTGAACAACGAGCCAGATAAATAATTCAAAGGATTTATAAATTTGATATTTTAACTTGGTTAAAGAAAAAGAGTAAGAAAAAAGAAGAAACTACACTAACTCTGAATTTTAATATAAAAGTAATATTTGTAATAGTAATGTTACTTTGATTGTTTCATATTTTATAGTCATACGCGGAATATGAACTCGCTGCATTAACAGCTGCATTAATAAAAATCTTATAATATACCTCTGTTAGGAAAGCGGATAAATACTCCAATTTGCAGGAAAATCTCAAGGACTTCAAAAGTCTCATCTTGTAGGAGGCAAACTTACAAATAATTACGTGAGTACTTTAAAATTGTTTAAGTACAACAAACAACACAGATTTAATTTAAAAAAATAATCATTTTTTTATCCATACCATAAAGTAGGTAATACATTAACATTATAATTACAATTATTTCAACCATGTCCAATATCCATTTAGAAAAACCTAACCTTAAATTATATTAGCTAACCTTATTCTATAAACATATCGTTAATCGCAGTCATGAGTAGAATATCCTACTCAATATCCCGGTTACGGCTTCACATTGAAGACAAATTACTTTGAAGCTTAGCCTTCCTATAAATGGTCCTTTGAAATAAAATAAAATTCATAAAGGCACTTCCACTTTGATGACAGTACTGCCCAGCTCAGTAAGCTGTGCAAAGTGGGATTTATTTATTTTAAGCGTGGAAAGGGAAATCTATTTGAAATGCAATTTTCCCTCCTTTGATAAAAATATGTAAACGTTTTAATAAGAAGTTAGCTACAGAAAGCAATTAAATTCTTTCTTTAAAAACTTCGAACAGAGGATGAATTTGATGAATTGAATAGCAAAGAGATTTATGTGATCATAGATTTATAATTTCCAATTGGAATATAATGTTAAATTATTGATTCATAAGATATAGTTAAAATCTAAAATCCAGTGTGTAAATATCAATACACTAAACTAAACTTTTAATTGTAATTGAAAGTAATTAAAACATTTGAGAAAGTTAGACTCGGTACAAAGCGGATGAAATATTCTAAGTTCTCATTGACAACGTGATAGAGAACGTACGACATAAAACTTTCAGAGATAACTCATTCACATGCCCTTTGTTTGTACAACGTACGAGTTTGACACGAGTTTGTTTTATGACAAAGTGAATACTGGATGGAGAATGTAAAACGCGAATAAGAGTTTGCTTACAAAGCATTCTTTATCAGCGGAAACCACAAATGTATATTTATACGTCCATGTAGTTCTACATTGCTACAGACTTAAACATAGGCGTAAAAAATGGGGCTAAATACCTTGGTGAAACAGGCGTGTACATACACATACACAGTCGTATACTTCTTCTAACTTTTATTACACCTCCCTCGAGCTCAATGTTTATGTCCCCTTGTCGTTTATAACCAAGACAAGATATTTTTTTATGTCACACCTTAACCAGCGCTGTACGGACTAGATAAGGTCCATGTATTAATTGTGATCATGTATCACCGTTATTGGCACTCGGGTATTCTTTAGATAAGTACCCAAAGGCGAATGAAGTTATTTATGAGCCTAGAGGAGCCATTTATCAGCCACTATTTCATTGTTAATGTTATAAATGTACTACGTATGTAATAAAACACTATTTTCATTGATACTAAGATCTACAGAGAGGAAACATTCAACAAAACTGAATAAAAATACCAAAAATGAACATTAAAAAAAATCTGTTGTTCTGGCCGTTTGGTAACTTTCATGTGTGAAGTGAATGCCATTTATTTGTAGCGTTTGTGGCTGAGACATACACATTCATTCTTTTAACATTGTCGTTGTAGGTCGAGACTCTAAGACGACGAAAGACGCTTGATAAACGTTAACGTCACATACCACAGCCACAAACTGTTCCACACAGTACCTAAAACATTTCTGGCGCTTCTGGCTGTACATAACCTGAAAACTTTACGAGTATTCTTCTACTGTCACATTTTCTTTTTTGTGATGCCTAAAAATCAACGTTTCACTACTATACTAATCAGGATATGTATGATATAGTACAAGCTATAAATTACTTCAATTCTTTTCATTAAACTGTAAGTCTCCCTCCATTATCGAAGGCATAACTTACAAAGATAATAGTCGTTATGGGGCCCTAAGAATCTGCTTATGAATGGAAGCTATAAAGCGCCGCATGGCTTACTACTGTAAATATTGTATTATATGTATATTCATTTCTTTTTACCTCTTATCATCGTCTCAAATTTTCATTAAACTTTTTTTTTCTATTCTATTCTTTATGTATTCTATTCACTCCTTGGACTCCCTTTTGTCTCAACCAAGGTTTTTAGTTCTTGAATTACATATATTATAAATTTGGGCTAATCGTAAAATTTATTACTAATTATAGTATATAGTAATTCCTTTTTTATATAATTCCTGATTATTTAAATAAATCTATTCCTGCTTAGTCTGCTCACTCACATTTCAATCAATCAATCAATTTCAACTGAAGTTAATTTTTCGTATTCATGGTCTACAATAAATTATATTGTTTTAAATTGTGTTATGATTTGTGGTACTATGCTGTGGAACTCTGAAACAATATAATCGCCAACCAATACTTAATATAATTTAAACCGATAACCAATATAGTAATCTTGCGCAATAAATATATACTACCAACAACAAAGGCCATCACTTTGTGTTTGCAAGTTCGCTCTGGTGTTAAGGACAAAAGTTGTAATAGATATTCACTTAAAGATAAACAAACTACAAATCAAAAAAGTTACGAGAAATATGTTGGTTAAAACATGCCTTTTAGCAGTAGTTTGAATCTCCAACATTTTACAGAAAGTTCTGATCAAAATAAACATGAAACTCATTTGAGTGTGCGTTCACATGCGTTCCTCATATAAGTGTCTTCCATTTTGGCAACATTCTTTTTTTCAATTCCCTGTCGCTGTCATTTTTTTTAACTTTCCATTCAAAATGCTTTCTTTGATACACTAAAAAAAACAGTAATCCTATTTGCATATTGCTTTTCTACTTTCAGTTGAAACCATTTATAAAATGACACAAAACAACTTTGATCCTTTAATAAATTTATATAATTCTAAAGCTTTGTTATTGCAATGACACAAAAGTAAACTTTATCTCGTTATCATATTGCAGATAAATACGATAAAGGTTGTTCGTTTACTGTGACTTGAGGCATCCGTAAAAGTTATAGATTTTTAAAAAGTTGAAGATCAATTGTCAGTCCGTACTCGCTGCATACTTAGCGACACCTGTTACGTTGATAATGATATAAAACTATATGACATACATAGGTTATTTCCTAGGAGTGACTAAATTATCCTTTAATATGTAGATTGGATAGAAATGAGAAAGGCAAAGAGTGTAATCATTTTGATCAGCGATAAAGGCGCACGTGCACGGCTCTATCCCGTAAAGCTATAAGTTAAAATAGAATAATCTTCCTTCGAACCAGCCAGTTCGTAATTCATTCATTTTTTCGTAATATTCTGCATGTCACACACTAAGGCTGTTAGTTTGCGGAAAATCATTACGGGCGCCTACAAACGCCATGCGGATTGGTGATACACGCAACGCACCCACTTACACATGAATTCACGGCCGCGGCTTCTTTACATCGCGCCACAATCGCCGGTCCGGGGAACGTGGTCACCAAGTTAAGACTATGGAGCACAGACACTGCGCGGGCACCGGCACAAGCGCGATCAGTAACGGCGCGGCGCGATCCAGCGTGCGGCGTGGCACGTTTGCAGCACGAGGGCGTGTTCGCGCGATTCTCGCAGGACGCGGCAGCTCAGGTGACGCACGGACGCAGCGCGGTGCGGTGCGGTGCGGACAAGCGCTTGCACGGGCTAGCGCCGACACACGACAGCCTCCGTCGCAATGACGAAGCGGCCGGGTACGCGCGCGCGCTCTACGACGCAGCCTCCCGAATCTCTCCGACCCGCAACGAAATCTCACGACTTGGGGGGTGAACAAACCCGCCACGCTTCTCCTTCTAACACTGACGAGGTTAAAAAGGATTTACAGTTTCTCGTAGCATTTTACGGTTCGATCGTCCTCATCGTAGACTTTGTAAATCTAGTAACCGTCCACAGTCCACAACACCCCTTCAGTAGTAACGTTATCTGACTCAAATGTGCTCCTCCTACCTGTCTAACCTGGAGATCTCACCGACTCACCGGTGCATACTAGGTTAGAGGACACCTAAAAGCGTCAACCAAACTTTAAGTTGTATCATATTGCCTTTTTCAATACAATCCTCACATAATATATATTTTTTTCCAATTTCAAGGCTACTCTAAACTGAACTGACACTGAACTCATGAAGACTTAACATAACCTATTTGCCTAAGATATCGTCATTTATAAATTAAGAACTAATATATATTCGGACCTGAAATAAATAAGAATTATATATGTATTGCTATTTTAAAACCTCTTCCTGCCAATGCAACTGTTCAGAACTTGGTTAAAAAACGATTAAAAGTGAGCAAATTTATATCGATGAGAAGTGGCAGGTGTCGCTCGCTTCGTACAAACATATCTTTTGTTCGCGAAGCCAGGATTTGAAAAGACTTCAACACCGCTACATCAGTCGCTACCTCAACTTTTAATTTTTATCATGCTCTGACAATCAGAGATCTCTTCTGATCTTTTAGTTTGCATTATCATAGCTACTATTCTAATCATAATTACTGAGAAGAAATACTCCACTCACTTAGTGTTAACTAATTACAGTTTAATACACATAGCAAACAAAAACGGTTTTATCTAATATTGTCCCTAAATGGTTTAGATTCGCGATTGGATTGGAGATTTAGGATTGTTATTTCAATGTTTGAAAAAATCTGTTATTTTTTAAAGATTTTAGACGAATGTTGACCTTAATACATTCCTAATATATAACTTGACCTATGTCTGTATAACTTAAATAGTGATATGTATGACACATATCACTTTACGAAATTTATTGAACGACGTACATTTAAAACATTTTAATTTAAAAATTATATGTTTTCCTGTAGTTCTTCGTTGTTTATGAACTTATTGTAATTTATTTCATAACTTACTCCCGTTTAAAATAACTCCATTTGTGGTTTGTTAATCACCGAGGGTTAAAGTAAGCGGATCGGGGATTTCATTACTTGAATTAATATCTTGTCTTGTAAAAGCATTATATAAAATGTCCAATAAATTTCGTTAACGAACGAAACGAAACAGAGAGAGGATTAGGCTAATTTATTTTTAATTGTAAATTGCTCAGGGCCCCTTTTTTGTAATACCTTTGGGTGCCACGTCGACAAGCGCAGAATGGAGTGATTATGAAGGAGCCGAACCGATATTACTACACAGCAATCAAAATTCTCAAAAGAAATGTATGATAAAACAATTCTCTACCTGCTTGTAGGATATCTTAGGTCTTGATAAAAGCACAGTACAGGAATTTTGCATCATAAATTATAGTTGTACAGTAAACAACAATTAATTTAAAATGCAGACATTATAAAACCCGCTTCAAACTCGTACTTTGTCACCAACGTTTAAATAATTGCATGTAACATATTATATTTGTCTTCGATAGTTAGTTCGGTAGTTATATGTAAAAGTTTACATTTCAATGTCGAAAAATAAAAAATAAATTGTAACTAATCGATTAGAAATTTAAGAAACAAACTTGTTTTGCTTCAGACAGACTTTATTGACAACTTGATATAAAAATAAACTATGTACGATTGAAGCGTATAGAATGTACGCGCGTAACATAATGTTCACCTTTATACCACAAAGCAATCAATTTGTACTCCGCTCCACCGCGTGATTGCTGCTATATGTCACTTAGATCGGACCTCGTAGCCATAGTGTCGCCATCTGTATCAGTCAATGTACACACTGGGTAGTACATACATACTCATGTGCTAGTGTAATGGGCTATCAACGATAGCTAACATTGTCACTGTCAGGCGACCGGTTTATGACTGACTGGTAAATAATTACTTGTGATCACGGCCAACAACGAAAATAAGAGCACGACTATACGTAACTTATTATAATTTTATTGTAAAGGCCTTTATCCCATTTGGTACGTTTTTAAAATAATTTTATGTACCAAGAATAAGTAATGTTTTTCTTTCGCAACGTGACATAATTAACTCCTAAAATAGATATAGATCCATTTTTCCAAAACTGATTTATAGCGACGCTTGTATAACTCACCAAGCAATACTTACCTACGCCAGAATTGAATGAACATTTTAAAATTTCAAAAGTGGCTAAACACCCTATTGAAGAAATTGATAAACCTCAGTTTGTCTAAAAGTAGCTGAATAACATTATATCCCAAACATCTAAACACCTTGCATTTCAATTGTCGCTAAACATCTTGACTTTTCTGTTTCGTTTCTGTGAATACTTTCCAAACTGTCGAAAGGAACTGAACAACATTTTACTCAATAACTTCGTACAGGATGCGTTCTATATAGAAGGTATGTTACAGACAGTTATGGTCATATTTACAGGGCGTAAAGCGTTAAGAATTTTAGAAAAAACTTTGATTATTATTACTTTTTTTTTTAATTCCTAATGTAACTAATATTTCAAATCTCTAACGAAAAAGATGTATCAAGTAAGTAAGTATGGAAGGCTACTTATACCAAACAATCGGGCAGACATGATTTAATCTATGGGTATTACAAGTGGAGGATATTAATTTTAACTACCTTTACCTATGACTTTGAACAATCGTGTTGCGCGAATAAAGATGGATGATAAGGGTCTATGGGTCTTTTTTACCTTTGGAAATACAGAACCACTAAGAAAAACTAAAAATAAGACAAAAAGTAAAAGGCAATCATTATTTGATAGAAGGTCAGCAAGCGCCACGGTGATCCTAATAACCATAAATCATGAATTTTCTGAGCCCAAAGTATTCAACAATCAGAATTGCCAAGAAATTATGCTAAAACAAAGGCTCTGCTAAAAGCAATAGTAAACTATTCATTAAACTTCTCAAATTCCCTAGCTCATAGTGACAGTGCTCATAGTCCCTAGTTACCTAAAGTACATTTATTAGTAAGTTAAATGTACATTCATATTTAAATCTGACTTCCTTACTTACATTGTGTACCTACTAGCTCACCCGCAAACGTCAAGAATTAATTAGTTTTAAAATTGCATTAATGTATAAAGCGCCATCCTGATTTTTGCCGTCTTTTGCGAGATATCTTAAACGCAAGAATTAAGCAAATAAATTTCCTTTTTTTCCCCTGAAGTTTTAAAATGTCTTAATAGTTAAATCCAACAAATCAAAGATCATAAAAATCGGTTGTTAAGTCGTTCTTGTGTTATAAATGGTGTAACCTAAAGCCTCATACATACGTAACGATTTATCGTAGCGATTTCTGACTGTGCAGATAAATCGAACGTTCCTAGTGCCTCCACACGCCTCCGATATCGACATCGATCGGGCAGTTCTCCGTAGAAGCTCGCGCAAGATACATGTTAACAATGGAAGATTATGACGCACTTGCTATATTAGGCCTGGTTATGTGTTTAAAGAAAAAAAATAAGCGGAGTCCATGGTGTAAAGACTGGCTCATGAAAAGGAAGCAATTTTCTCATACCAACTTGTTATGTGAGTTGAAATTCGCTCCGCAAGATTGGCATAACTATTTGAGGATGAATGAAGAGGCATATTTAAATCTGCAGGCTTTAGTTTCTCCACTAATAAAGAAACAAGACACTGTAATGAGAGAAGCTATAAGTCCTCATGAAAGATTAACTGCGATTTCTAGCTACAGGACGTTCCTACCAATGTATGAAGTTTTCTACAATAATATCACCGCAAGCTCTTAGCCAAATAATCCCTGAAACCTGTGATGATCTGTACGAGGTTCTACGGAAAGATTACTTAAAGGTAAGGAATGAAAAATACTGTATTAATCAACAAATTATTTATTAATTAAACTTTTAGAACGTATTGAAGAACATTTTACGAATAAGTTACTTATTTCTTCATCATTAAAATTACGTAAATAGGAAGTAATTGTATTATCAGATTGTGTATGGTCTGGCTCTACTGGTGATGTTAATTCCATTGATGATTGAGTGTGTGGTTGAGTGTAAATGATTTGAGTGTGTGGTTGAGTGAAAAGATTTTGAGTGTGTGGCTGAGTGTAAATGACTTGAGTGTGTGACTTAGTGGAAAGGTTTTGAATTTGTGGCTGAGTGGAAAGTTTTTGTATGTGTGGCTGAGAGGAAGTTTTGAATGTGTGGCTGTGTGGAAAAACTAGTATTTGCAAAGTCATCATATTTTCTTAGTGTGTGATATAGTTAAGCTACCCATTTCAGCCAAGAACAGAATTTCAATAATTATTTTTTCTGTTATAATTCTCTGTTCTTTTGGTAACTCTTATAGTTTCATCCCAACATTTTTGCCAAAAACCTCAAAACGATTATCGGGTTGTTTAGGCCTTTTAATATGATAATTTACGGACTTAAGTACGTCGTCAGTTAATGTATTTTTTTTTGGTCTTGGCCGAACACCACCCGAGATTGATGTAGCTCGTTCGCTGTCAGAACGGTTTGCCGGGGTCGGTGTGTCTAATTCGTTGTCGGAATAGGCCAGTGTTGGTGTGTCTCGATCGCTGTCTGGACAATCGTAGCTCGTTGAGCCGATGCCGGTGGTTGACTGCGTCTGTAAAATAGAAGAACTATTATATTCCTGAAATTACTATACTAATCATGTACTCATTTTGTTACAGTTTCCAAAAACAGAAGAAGAAGAGTGGAGAATAATAGCGAGAGAATTTGAGCAGAAGTGGAACTTTCCTCACTGTTTAGGTGCTATTGATGGAAAGCACGTTAAAATCGTGCCCCCAAGTAACAGTGGCTCGTTTTATTATAACTATAAACATAGACACAGTATGGTATTACTAGCAATCGTTGATGCAAAATACAGATTCCTGTTAGTTGATTTTGGGACAAATGAAAGGGTTTCCGATGGCGGAGTATTGTTGAATACAAAATTTTATGAAAAACTTGAAAAAAAGGCGTTAAAAATTCCTACAGAAGAAAGTTTACATAATTATCCACGAATACTGCCATATGTATTTGTAGCTGATGACGCCTTTCCTCTAAGAAAGGACATGATGAAGACATTTCGGCAAAATGACTTAGATAGTAGAATTAAGGAGATATATAATTATCGGACATCGCGAGCACGCCGTTTAGTCGAAAACGCTTTTGGCATACTAGCAGCGAGGTTCAGAATTTACAGAACACAAATGAATATGTCGCCTGAAACTATTGGGTCAGTCGTAAGAGCAACTTGTGCTTTGCATAATTATTTGATGTCATCATCGCTTAATTCATACGCTCCTTCAGAATGTTTCGATAGTGAACATTATGAGGAAGGTACGATAACGTCAGGATTCACAACAAAGGACTCAACACTTGAACCATTACAAAGAACTACACAAGGCCGTACAATTCAAACAGCAAATCAGATAAGAAGTCAATTTATGACGTATTTTGTAACTGAAGGGAAAGTTCCTTGGCAAGACAATTTTGTTCATTAATGTCAAAATACAGGACTTGTATTCGAGTAATATAATTAAGCAATAAATATTTTTTTAGAAATAAAAACTTACCTCATTTTCGTCATCATCTATATTCGATGTAGATGGTCTCGGTACTTCTTGATCGTATAAAAAACTCAATAACTCAAAGTACCATAAACAAGGTTTATAAATCTCGTCAGTCCCTGCTCCAGATTTACACGATTTTTTTATTTTATTGAGCTCTTTTTTATATGTAGTTCGAAGATTATTAATCTTCTTAACCACTGTATCCCTGGTCGCATTTGGATCTATGGGTTTGTATTTTTCGATTAGCCTGTCGTAGACGGCATTTTTTTTGTTGCGGTCGTGGTAATCCTTACATGTAGTCTTCCAAAGACAAGTTTCGTTTCTGTAGCTTTCTATAAAATCTTGAAGTAGTTCGCGGTGTCCAACTGCACGTGTGCACGATGTGCACGTGCTCACACTAGCAAGCTCCGTGAAGTACTGCCGAACTGAGCGATCGCCGTCCACACGCAACATTAAAACTGTGCAAATGTAATCGACAACGATTTATCTGATAGAAATTGCAACTATAAAACTGCGCAAACTGGTCTGCACAGATTTATCGCTACGATAAATCGTTACGTATGTATGAGGCTTAACTAACCTGACTTTCTTTTTACTTAAAATAATATGTTAAAACAGTATTTTGTTACGCTAGCACACCTTTTCTTTGTTTTTATTTTGTCACTGCTATCGCCAGACTGTCAGAGCCCTCTAACCATTAAGCACCGCCACTGTTACAATTTTAATTGAAATATTCATTCGAATGGTAAGAAGTTTTAATAGCTTTGTCAAATTCGAGTGAACTTTATATTCGGTTACAGATAAAATGTAAAATGAAAATCTTTATTCAATAAGAATCGTTTTACTTTTTTACTATTTTACATCGTATGATGATATTTCCTTTTTTTCGTGTGGTAACCCCCACGGGCTGAGTAACCTCACCGGGTCTCACGGTGAAGTCGGAATCGAAACGACTAAACCACACGGTATTCCGTCACATGTAAGTCTATTGCAAGGAACTCAGATATATCCTAGGAAGGAAGTCCTCGATAGTTCATTTAAAAAGTAATATCACAAGGCTTTTTATTTAACAAGGAATGTTAAAACATGTATTTAGGATTGATTTCTCTAGATGGCGCTTAAGCTTTTAATCACATACATCACTACTTACAGCAAAAAATATAGTTTTGTTATAAAAAGATTTTTTAATATTAATTAGCCGTTTACAGAAATCATATTTATAAAACTTTACTACATGCAAATATCTGGCAAACTGTAATCAACAGTTGAATCTAAATGAACAACAACAGCACTTTTATGTGCTAGAGACATCTCAAATGCATCAGCATCTTCCGTCGGTTTGTCAAAGAAATTAGTCGTATTTACTTTACCAACTAAATTACTACAACTGACCTCACTTAAATTACTATCAGTGACATTAAATCTAGATTTGTGTTTAGCAATGGGGCTGTTGTTGTGAATGAATGAATTTAACTTATTTTTTTGAAGTGGACTATTAACACTAAATCTAAATTTACGATTTCCAGCTGGGCTATCATTAGGTGTAGAACAATTATTTAGTATTTCAGTAACAATAGACTTTCTTTTAATCATCTTCCTAGGGGTAGTGGAGTTGAATACAAGTCTAACTAAATTATTTTCTACTTTCGTAGTTTTCACTTCTGTAGTTCTAGTAACTATTTTGTCAATGATATCTGAAAGGTCACTCTCCACCACATCATCATCGGTTTTATTTAACATACTTAAAAACTGTTTTCCACTAATTTTTTCAACACTTGGAAGAGCATTTTCTTTTCCATCAAATAAATCGTCTAAAAAATCGTTTATATGTTTGGGTGTAGGATCTCTGTCTTCCTCAGGTACTTTTAAAGAAATGTTTTTAAAGCTCTGTGTTAGTGACTGCATTATTTTCTTACTCGTTCGTCTTTTTTTAACTGCTATAAAACCTGTGAGCGTTTTCTGCCCTTTCTTTGTATTATTTTTAATCTTTCTCTTCAACGTCTTCACAGGAACACTGACATTTAATACGCTGGTGTTCTGTTCAGTAGCTTTTACATCTAAAGCTTGCATCGACTTATTTAAGTCATCAATTTGTGGGACTTTAGTTTTCCTGTTATACTTTCTTTTAGGTTTGTCAGGATTATCACTATTTTTTTTCTTACGAGTTCTAGTCTTCTTCTCTTTGGGAGGCTTCTTTATGGACTCTTCATAAGCCTCTACAATATTTGGGTAAAATTTGTACATAAGGTCTTGTCTTTCGATTGTTGTCCATGCCACTAATGGATCCTCACCTTCTGCAAAGAAACACTCTCTGTTATTAATTAAAACACCTGTAATCAGTTTGTTGATCTTCATACAGAGTTATAGACAATCAAAACACCTAACACAACGAATGTAAGCTATTGTCTGATATCAGAATTGTAATGTTGTACCTTCAAACTGGTCATCAGGAATGAGTTCTTCGTATTGTTTGTCTATATCAACCCATACAACCTCATAACTTGGAACACCTGAAAATATTTTCTATAGATCAGTACCTAACCTTCGAATACTATAAAATTATACAGAGAAAAATAATCAATATTCGTTTCTTATTCATATCAATAAAATCGTCAATGCTAGACAGTTACATTATCATGTAACAATACTAGAACAAATTGATATACGAACCTCTCGGGTTTCTTTTTTTTTTTATAAGTGTGGCTTGAATAGTCCTGTTAGCTACATAGTCCTGTAAATGCCATTTTGTAAGCAGTGGCAAAAACTTTTCCACGCAGTATCTTTCTGACCAATCCAATTTATTTGTCATTAATTTCTGTAAATTAATATACAGTAAGTAAAAAAAGTACTAATAATAACTTTAGACATGTCACACAGCATTCTGATCACAAACTAGACTGCTGATGAACATACTTATTTTTTTAATACATACATATTATAGACTAGCTGGTACCCGCGATTTCGTTCGCGTGGAATTTGAAAAGCGCTGCCTTAGTGGTTTGATTCTCGGACCGGGCAAAATTTTAAAGGGTTTTTCTGAGAGGAAAAATAGCTTTAGTTACTCCTTATATAGGCTGCTAGCGGGTAGTAAAATATTATCAAAATCGGTCTAACCGTTTAGAAGATTACCCGGAACAAACAGACAGACAAAAAAAACAATCGCGCTCATCACACAATTATTTGTCCTAGGTGGGAATCGAACCCACAACCTTCGGCTTAGCAGCCAAGGTCACTTAGACACTATACCAACAGGTCCGTCAAATGAGAAAAATGTACGTCTCCTTCATAGAAAAATAGTTGCATGAAAATCAATAAAATCAGTTTTAGGAAATAAAAAATCATGTAATTTCCTGTAAAACAAATATTGCTCACCACAAACTGAATCAAACTGGGTGTAGGTTTTTTCAACTTATCTAAATCTACAATCTCTGGCGGCGTATTTAAAAACTCTTTCATAACTTTAGGTTCTGGAAACGCAGAGCCACATGTGAGTGCTCGATTTCTCAAAGATAACTCACGTTTTACTTCTGATATTTTTGTCCTAAAAAGCAAAAGCATGATTTAGGTAAATATCAAAATCTCCCTCTCGCAATAGAGATCCAAACTGAACTTAAATAAAACATAAAAATTAATCACTATTAATGTACGTAACAGACACTTATATAGTATAGAAATTAGTTTACCCGTTCCTCTATCTTTTTTATACAGTCGAATTATCAATAAAATAAACAACATCAATTAGAAGAAGTCCGTTTTACTCCCTTTTCAAAAAGCGAAGCGTCTGACCAGGACCCTCTTGGGTCACTAGTCGGGCATCAATAATATATACATGTATTCGAAACACGTACAAGTACGATTAAAACCTTACATCTTTAATAAATATATAAAATTCAGGCAAGTTTTTTAATAGAATAAAATTGTCGAATTTAATTATTTTTTTCAAATATCTTTGTGATTTATAACCTCTGATGCCTATCACATTCATAAAGTTATTATTATAGTAAATAATTTAACTATAATAATAACCTTATGAAATATGTGTATTACTTTGAAAAGCGATTCTGGAATTATTTTGCGAAAATTTCACAATAAACACTTTGAAATTTGATGGGTCACAACACATTATTCAATTAATAGGACCCAATACCGCTAACAGTTGTGGTTGTGTTTTTTGAATGGTGCCTTTTTTTTAGTAAGAATTTAATGTAACTACGTGTTAGTATTGGCGAGTTGAAAATAATTTAAAACAATTACTTATGTCCCGTATCGTTGCAGCCACGGTGCGTGACACATATGGGGCAACCGTTCCTGCCGTGAGTGCGCCCAAAGTGACCACACCGATCACACCGCCCTGGTGCTGCAAGCCAGCGGCTTTGTTCTTCATAACATTGCACATCTGTTACCCATGAAAGTAGCCTGCGGCAATTTAGAGATTCCTTAATGTTTTTTTTCTTTCGTCTTACATCGGATTACTGATTTGTGTGTAATAATTATTTAGCAGTCCAAGTTGTGGTACTGCAGCAGGGATAGAGATGGAGTAAACAATAGTACACATATTAGTATAGAATATACTAGCGTAGCGATTCTCCCCGGCTTCGCACGGGTGCAATGTAGATACTACTAATGCGATGTCACTGTGATTAATTATACTATTATTATGATAAGACTATACTACAAGGCATCTTTAGTTATCTATACAAGTAAATAAAATTGGAGTGTCTGTTTGTAATATTAAAATAACCGCTTTTTACTAAATGCATATACATGTATGTTTACACGGTACATATGACATAAGGAGTAATTTAGACTACTTTTTTTTAGACTAGCTTCGCCCCGCGGCGTTGCCCGTGGTTATAACAACAAACGCGGGTAACACCGCGGGTCTCAGCTAGTATACAATATTTTAATTTGTATTTACAGGCTCCGGCCCCTGCCACCCGGTACAGACGTACGGACCGACGCGGCGACAGCTGCTTTACCCCAGCATTTTAAGTCTCTGATATCCCTAAGATATTAATATTAATGATATGTTGTAAAAGGTAAAGGACAATGGCAGGTCCCCATACATAATTTTATTTGAACTGAAATGTTAGCGTTTAAATATCAAAAAATCCTTAACACTTGAGAATTTATTCTTGACCATTCTCATATCAAAATTACTTGCGAAAGAAGTCTAGGAAAAAAGATATTGGATTTTGAATGTTTCGAGGTTAAGTACTAACATATTGTTAATGTTTTGTTTGAAACTAGATGGCGTTGTGTGTCAGATAGCCGAAAATATTTTCATTATTATTACAGTATATGAAATAAAAAAAATAAAAGCATAACATCTATTCGAGTTTAACACTAAATTAAACAAAAATAAAATAACAAACGTGGTGAGTCCGGAACTTGACAGGATCTAAACCACAGATTAAGAGATATGTACTAAACGACGACGTATCGACATTTTGAAAATATCGATGTATGTCTATTTATGTGCCGTTATCAATGACAATTTATTTTTCTCATCACACTGTGTAGTGGAAAATAACGTAACTATATTCTATTTCTTTAGTGTGTTTAAAATCGTTTAAAGAGAGTCAAAAATATTTTAAATCATTTCTAATTATGTTGATTCAGTCACTCTACCGTACGAGTGAAGACGTGGGCAGAAGCAAATTCATAATCATAATAGTGAACCTTCGGTAAATATTTCAGCCAAAGCTATAAGAATCGATTTTCGATAAATTGTTCCATAATATAATATTGCCACCACGCATCCCTAGTCAGTTATACGTGATGGCGAATCTGACATTACGTACTTAGGTCAAATAAAATCTTCAAAAATATCTTATCTCTTATAAGACTTATACAACACATGGTGGTGTAATGATAAATCATAGAAAAAAAATTGATTAAGTTTACTGTGACTCGATTTTTTAAACGCTTAAGTTTTAGGTAAATATGTTTCTGCCATTGTTCTTAATGCACAACATACCTAACGTATTTATTTGAATAAGGAATAATTCTGTTGTTCAATATAGCTTCGTAAATTAACAATTATTTTTTGTAGTAAAAGATAAAAATGGTTACTGTGTGTTATCCTTAGATCTTTTTTAAGATATACATATAATTTCGTAGTATCTCGTAAAGTTTAGCCAGCGTTTGCAATGTAAGCTCACAAAAACACGTTTTTCACTTCACATTACAAATCCTTGAGATTGTCGGATTTCCTCTACTATAATATGAATGTATTACATATACATATATGTTTATAAACCCGCCTCTTTAATCACTCTCTCTATTGTTGAAAACCATATTAAAATCCGTTGCGTAGTTTAAAAGATCGAAGGATACAACAAAAAAAAAGCGACTTCATTTTATCATAGTATAAAATGAAGTCGCTTTTTTTAAAGAAGTACTATAAAGTGTAATTTAATGTTACCTAGGAATAACTTCATTTTCAGGTACATTGTGCAAAAATGATACCACTGTATTTATGGAAGAACCGCATGCACCGACACCGTAATCACAACCACACAAAAGGGCAAGAGCAACCATCTTTTTGCGGCCAAATCCTAAAAAAACATATTTTAGCATTATTAAAAAAAAAACAATAAAAGTAAATGTTACAACTACCAAATTACTGCTAAAATGACTTATGTTTAAACTGGAAACTCATAACAGCAACAGTTTTGAGATATAACCAAGATGAATTGAATGTGTGACACAAAAACACCTTACTCATTCTTAGTACTGTTGATAAATAAAGATATATACCATTATTGTTATACATTTTATCAGCGTCGTAACAGTCGACCGATCCTTGAAGAGCGCCACCGCCTCCAGTGTTAGACACGCTAAAGTTACGATACACTCGTCTTGCGCCATATGCGAAACAATCAGAATCTTGAGATACTACAGCATCCACAAGCTATAAAAAATAAATTTATTAAATAAATAAAAAATGAATACTTTACAAGCAAATATGTAAAAGGAATGTATTTCTGAAAGAAATAATACAAACATTCTGTGCATTAAGTGCAGCACAAGTGGCTTCAGCCTCACCATGGCCCTTGATACATCTAACTCCTAAACACTTTAGCAGGGATTCACACTGAAAAAAATATTCAAAATCAGTTTTACTATCTCTACTGTATTAATAAATTACACTAACTATTAATATTTATTCCCAAAAATATTTTTAAAGATATATAAGCTATTAACACAAGCATGTCATTGGTCACTGAGCACCAATTCGTCAGTAAATATTTCATATTGATCCTAGCTTAAACATCGAAATAAATTCCAGTCAAAGTTTAGGAGAAATAATGATATCTATTCTCATATAATACATATATGCTTAATATAGAACAGATGTAAACACAAAAATACACTTCAAACACAGAATACACCTTGCTATAACAAAAATATCTAGTCATTTAAATACTTTGTTGTGTGGCAGTGGCAAGTTAATTGCACAGGTTCCCAGACTGAATCATTCTCATATTCTGGAAATCCTGACAGAGGTATAATATACAAAATATACCTCTGTCAGGAGTAACTGAGCAGTTACTCGAAATATGTAAATAAAATTTTTGCTGAAAATTGGTCTTAGTGCATTATTTATGACCCACTTATCTCTGATGTAGCTAGTTGCTTATGTAGGCTATTAGAATGTTATAATGAAATTGTAGTTATGTAGATTTATACTCATAAAATAGTCTATAAGCACTTCTTCGCCCGAGACACAGGTTCAACCTAGTTCGGGCAAACAATTAATTATAAATTATTGTACTCTTTATCTAAATAAAGTATTATTATTATTAACGCTTGTCTTATATGGATACAGAATAAAATAAAATTGATGTGCATGAGATTTTTATTTAGCTTACTATTTTCAAACCAGCCAATGTATAAAAGCTCTTATACTTACTTCTTTTAACACATTTTTAAACCTTTTCCTGGCGACATCTGGTTTTTTATTTGCACCATTGGATTCTAACCGAGGTGCTGCACCGCGAAACTGAATCTGATTACGGACTGCCATGACATCTCTTTTAAGTTCCGGTGCATCCCCCTCCAAAACAAACACAGGGTCTATGTCTGCCAAAATTAAGTAAGCAGTTCTGAAGAAAAGGTTTCTGAAATAAATTTAGAAAACTTAATTTTATTCTGAAAAATTTAATATATAAAATCAGAGGTTTCTACTTTACATACTAACTTATTTTAGTGACAACACATACTCAAATCTAAGTGTGGTAAAAGAATTAAAAATTTGCACCATGCAAATTTTTAATTCTTTTTTTATTTTTCTTGGGCAGGTATAAATTAGATTAGAAGACTTACAGACAGATTAGAATCAGAAGACTAGGATTTTTCTCAAATTTAAACAAAATCATAAATTAAATTTGTACTCAAATACCTTGCTGCCTTTCTTTGCATTTAACGCTTGACATTGTATATGTGCAATATCATAATGTTTAGTTAAGTATATAGGGTAGTATGTGGTATATGGTTTGTTAGTACTTAGTTAAACTGTTAGTTACTAGTATTAGTAAATTTGAACATAATCAGCAATTTTGTAATAATTCATGGCCATCATATTTATTACCTTAGATATAACTTTGGTTGAACATAGTATTCAGTAACATTCTGACTGTCGCACACCCATCCTGATAAATCGACTGCGAGTGTTTCTCCTCTTAGCTATGACATAAAGAAGATAAAGAGTTCTATTCGTTATTTTTTATACTGCAACTATTTGGGTAAATAATTAAATAAAAAAACAAAGCACTCAATACATGAACGAAACAAAAATGTAATTAAAAAAAAAACCATGGTGAAGCTTTAAAATTTACTGTTAAAATTAACAGGAGTACCAGGTACCAGTTAAATTAATGTAGTAACTTAATTAATTTACCAAATTAATACTGAAAGATTCATGGTTATAAATAAAATGACTACATCATTTACTTAAATATTGAATTGCTCACTTCATGTAAAGACTTTTTTTCACTGTAAGGCGTCAACACAGCCCAAAGCCCTTTTATACCCATGCTTTCAAATTCTTATTTAGTTTTTTGTTGTTTAAAACTTTGAAACAACTTCAATATTTTGAATAAACGTTTTCTTGCTGCGAACTTTATTTATAAACAAGCTATCAGAATTTTAACCATGAGTATTGCCAGCTCTTAAAATCCCCAAGCTTCAGTCGACTCAACGGCTAAGCAATCTCGGAAAATCTCTTGACGAAGCGTCTGTAGCACGAACACAGACCGAGAGATGCTCGTACCTCCGTATTATCGTTGGGAGTAAGCCACTTTTGAACTACTTCCACTTTCTTCGGAACAGTTAGGATGCCTTCACTGCTTATAAAATGGCCGAGGTAATCCACTTCATTTGTAAATAAGTGACACTTTTTTGGGTTATGCTTTAAGTTGGCCTTCTGTATCTTGCTAAACCTACTCTAATTTCTGTAAATGGTCCTCGAATTTACGGAACCATGATAACATCATCCAAGTATACTATGTAGGCGTCCCCACTAACCCTGTCAGTACACACTTGATGAGGCATTCGAAAGTACGAAGTGCGTTACACAATCCAAAGGGCATTACATTGAACTGCCACAATCCTTTGCCTGTTGAGAATGCAGTTTTCTCCTTATCTTTTGGATGTATTCCTATCTGCCAGTATCCACATTTTAAGTCTAGGGTTGAGAACCATTTCATTCCGCTCAAGCGTGTTGTCGATTCGAGGCAATGGGTAACTGTCCTTCTTTGTGATGTCATAGAGTCGGCTGTAGTCCACGCAGAACCGGATGCTTCCATCCTTCTTACTCACTAGCATAACAGGTGAGCAATATGGACTTGCAGATGGCTCACTGATTCTGTTCCTTTTTATCTCTTCCAGCAAGCTTTACACTTCTTTTTCCGTTGCTATCGGCATTGCTTGCCTTGCTTTGCTTGTGTTGTTGAATCGTGCTATTTCGTGACAATAATATGTTTAAAAAAACGATGAAGTGTATATTTTGTTTTTAACAATTCAAAGAAGAGATAAAATTGAAAATTTATAGAGAAACAATAAGATATGTATAAAACTAGGTGTGTTGATTTGAATCAGCTATAAGGTAAACAAGGAACAATAAACAAGTCCAACCAAGCAATCATACAATAGCTTCAAGATGAAACTTAGTGGAATTAAATTAGCAAATTTAAGCGAAATAACGCAAAACCAAAATCTTAATGAAATGAAAAATGGGTTGTCCATTTTTCATTAAATTAATATTATAAATCAAGTAATCAAAATATTAGGCGTTACTCGTTAAATTAATAAGACCCAGTGAGTGAGTGAACCCAATGAGATTTATAATAATAATAAAAATGTTCTGGAGTAACAAAAGATCTTGTTAGTTTTTCTTTCTCCCTGGAAACCGTGTTGGTTCTAGTAATAAACTAATTTCGACTCAAAAATTGTTTTTTTGGTATTGTGCCACAGCCACACTGCCACAAACACTTCAAGCCTCTCTCTCTCTCATACAAACGTTTCTTTATTGTCAAATTAACCTAAATTCAGTTCTTGTAACTTCATTTTTAACTTATTTGATTTAAATACAGTTTCACTTCAAGCCTCTCTCTCTCTCATACAAACGTTTCTTTATTCTCAAATTAACCTAAATTCAGTTCTTGTAACTTCATTTTTAACTTATTTGATTTAAATACAGTTTCACTTCAAGCCTCTCTCTCTCTCATACAAACGTTTCTTTATTCTCAAATTAACCTAAATTCAGTTCTTGTAACTTCATTTTTAACTTATTTGATTTAAATACAGTTTTAATTCATTTTGATAAAATTACATTATTATACAATACATTTTTATTGTACTTTTTTTAGGTTGTATATTAGAAATCATACATAATTACATACATAAATTGATTTTCCTTATGCTTGGCAGGCTTAATTCTCAAATAATAATTAAGTAATGTTAAACTAAAAACTTGAGCTAGTGAGCTGTGATATAGGTACCGGCACCCATCTTTAGCGCTGACCTGCACAGATGTCGATTTTTGGGTCCTTTTGAGGTATGAAGTAGGACGGGACGGGACGGGGGGTGCAATTCAATCATAACGTCAGCCAATGATTGGCGCACCTATATTGTCGCTGCTCCTGATTCGTTTACTCGCACCTTTTTTATTAATAATTTAATCATTTCTACTTTCGCTATTCATCAATTTAATTTTCTGGTAGTTAAAAATTTAGGTTTCTATACGAGTGTATTAGATAGCGTGGTGTGTTCTAATCATATGTACCTATAACACAATACCACGATGAATAAATGGACACCGTACCAGTATCAGTTTTAAATAAGAAAGTGATTTGATGGAAGCTGTTACTCCTATTTCACCCTAATAATTTAACAAGGAAAATATTTTTTAAACATAATTAATATTTACGTTTTTTTTTTAAATAATTAAAACATTTTTCTCTTACCATAGAATCAATAAGAATAAGAAGTTACGTAGTAACTTTACTACGTAACGTCTTGTGGTTTTGATATATTTTTATTCTATTATATCTAATAAAAAATAAATAATAAAATAAATGCGAGTGCATTTTATTTTGCCGAATGATACATATCTTTTATATCACTCACTCAGGAGCTACACAACTCTACTTGATTGTTTGAATTGAAGTTTCATGTGTATAATATAATATATGATATACCTACCATTGTTTACATATATTATAAAAGTTGATAAGGAAATGATAATTATTTCGTCAAAGATAATTACGTTATGCTCGAGCGGTCCAGTTCACTGTAGTGTTATCTTTTCACAGAGGCTTGGTAACCAGTCTAATATACAAACTTTGAAACTATCTTATTTGATAAGTCATAGAACATTGATTTAATTAATTGCTAATTAATGTAAAAAATCTTCAATCATGTCTTATTTAAGGTTCCTTTATAGAAAAAGGTAAGCATATATTTCGTTTAAATTACCGATAGGTTAATATTCGATTCTACCCAGGACAAATATTGTGTGATGAGCAAGATCATTATTTTGTTCTGTGTTTGGGTGTAATTTATCCATATGTATGTATTTGGAAATATATAAGTATGTTTTTCAGTAGTCTGGTTACCATAGCACAGGCTCTGCCTAGTTTGGGATCAGACTGCTGTGTGTGAGATGTGTGAAATTATTATTATCATAATTCAAAATTTTTATGAGTTTGATATTGAAAACAAGAAACTTTCATTAAGGAAGTACAGTACAGTAAATAAGTAAATTCAGTTTTTTTATGTTATGAGTGCACTGAAAATGAATTAAATTATATAATAGCTGTTGTTTCAAATATATTGTAGTGTGTCTCACTTGCAAACTCAAGTAAGATCTAATCATGCACAACAACTCAAGGAAGAAGTACGAAGGAGGGAAATTAGTAAGATCTTGATAGCCAACCGAGGTGAAATAGCATGCAGAGTTATGAGAACTGCTAAAAAATTGGGTGTACGTACTGTTGCTGTCTACTCAGATGCAGACAAAAATGCCATGCATGTTGAAATGGTAAGATTTAATAAAATTATAAACACTATCTGATATCCCTCTACTTTTGTATGGAGAGCACTAAACATTGAAACGGTTAACACATAAGAATACCTTATTACTTAAAAGGTGATTATGAGCAGAGTTTTTGTTGATAATTTTCTTAAGTGGCGAGTCAATTTGTCTGAGTAATATTCATAGATAAAACACTATAAATGAAAGAGTACTATTCAAAGACATGTCGTTCCTCATATAATATAGTAACTTTATAAATTAAAGCAGTTACCGGAACTCCACAATAATTAAGCACCAAACCAAATATTTAAGGTCTTTCTTCATTTTGTAATCAGAAGACATGTTATAGTAATCTTTGTAGAATTTATCTTTTTGTTAAATACTGCAGAGCTTCACCAAAAATATCAATTTAGTTAAGTTATTCATTTAACGAACCTTCTATGACTTAGAAAATAATAGTTGAAATCAAGTAATTAATGATGTTTCTGTAAACATTATTAGGCAGATGAAGCATACCACATTGGACCAGCACCCTCAACAAAAAGCTACCTAAATGCCACAAAAATTCTGGAAGTTGCTAAGAAATCTAAAAGTCAAGCTATCCATCCCGGTTATGGGTTCCTATCTGAGAATGTCGAATTCTGTGAAAAGTGTGCAAGTGAAGATGTTGTTTTTATTGGACCTCCACCAACTGCAATCAGAGATATGGGAATTAAAAGGTACATTTATTGTCCAGTTATAAATAGAAGATATGATATCTATGCTAGGTCATAATTAAAATACTAAAATTAGTCTTGCTATATACAGCATAATTAGTTTAAATTATATGTACATAAACACATTCAGTAGGCCAATACCTCCTTTCTAAGGAGAGGCCTATGTCCAGCAGTGGACTAGTATAGGCTGTTGATGATGATGATGAAACACATTCATATTAATTCATATGTCTGCCTAAATATATTCATTAAAATATTTTGTAACTGTAAACTTTGCCAACTGGATTTTTAACTTAATAACAAGAACAAGAAATGGTTCTAAAAGTATGCTAGTAAAAAGTATGTAAGCTATGGTGACAATTTTATGGCATATTTATGTAAGAGGTGTTTAACATCATCTTTATTACCATTTTATTATGTGAATTTAACGGTCAATTAAATGGGTTATATGGGTGACAAATCACCTACTACTGGATTAAATTAAAAAATTAGGATATAAAGAACATGAAGCTTAATACAATTGTGATATTAGAATCACCAACATTTTTTTAAGAAAACCACATAGTTAAAAGTGGTAATCCTTTAACTTGGATGACGATAACAACATAAAATTGAGCATAATTAACTAAAATAGTTACTCCATATGCATTACAATAAAAATATATCTTAACCATATTGTGGTCACAGGTCAGGAGATTTAAGTACTTCTAATTTAATATTTTGTTTGTACAAAAATAATTAAAAAGAACTACATATTTCATTACAGCACGTCAAAAGCTATAATGTCAGCTGCAGGTGTGCCTATTGTTAAAGGTTATCATGGGGAAGAACAAAGTATTGAAAAATTAACAGCTGAGGCTCAGCGGATTGGTTTTCCTCTCATGATAAAAGCTGTCCGAGGTGGCGGTGGTAAGGTAACTATTATCTATATTATATTCTGGTATCAGTATGCATCTCAAAATTTACCTTTTCTATTAATGTAAAAGAATTAAATAATGAAAACAAATTAACAAAATAGAGCGCCATCTTGTTAAAAAGTAGTAAACTAAAATATTGCAACACAAGATATGTCTCTCATTAAGGCAGTAAAAGAGGAAGATAATGCCTTCCTTTTGTAGTTCAAATATATGCTGTAAATGTAATATGTTAAAAGAAAAATGTGTAAAAATGATTAGACTAAACTGTATTGTCCATTACATTAAATAACTACCTATCTAATTATATCATAATTTATGACCAGCGCCATCTATTATCTGAGTGGATAACTACTTTCTATAAAACTGGCGTTTGGATAATTAATATTAAAAAAATAAAAGAAGGTGCTATACTAAATAGTTGCTCATCATGAAAAAAATATTCAAAAAGAATCTCTCCGGCGGGGAATCGAACCCCGGTCTCCCGCGTGACAGGCGGGGATACTGACCACTATACTACCGAAGACTTATTTCTCTTGGGTGAAATAATGAATCTAACTACACCAAAAGTAGCAAGCATATATTTGTGTAAACATTAACAGAATGTATATTTTTCAGGGTATGAGAATAGCCATGACAGAGGCTGATTTCTTACCGCAATTGGAATCAGCTAAGCGTGAGTCATTAAAATCGTTTGGAGATGACAACATGCTGCTAGAACAATATATTACCGACCCTAGACATGTTGAAGTTCAGGTAAAGTTGACAAATGAATTTATTTTAAAAGCTTTTAATATTTTTGCATTACTTTTTAGTTTTATAATACTTATATTTTGTTCAGTTGGTTTAATCTACATTCTTTGATACACAAAAAAGTCAAACTCGCTACTAGATACAATACTCGGCAGTAAAATATACGTCAATTTTGTGCCTAACTTTAACTGACTGCAAAATAGGGGAAGGTTCCCAGTGCAACGATTTACTGTAAATGTACTCTACTCTTTAGTACTTCTTTTATAGAGGATGGTTTGTCATAAACAAAAATGAAATTAATATTGAATGGTTTATCGTATGTGGCAATCATTTGAAATAAATTAGTAATGTTAATTTCAAACAATTTTCATCCCAATGTTGAAAAATACTTCTGCAGATATCAGATACAAAATCACATCATAATCATGATCATCATCATCAATAGTCCACTGCTGTACATAGACCTCTTCTTAGAAAGCAGGTTTTAGCCCACTATGCCACGCTGACCAGACGGGTTTTATAGGGTTTGTTTCAAGTATTCCTTCTCTTTACAGTGCTATTTAATGGTCCTGTGTAGTTTGCTCCCTTAGTCGGTTCTTACGACACCCCCGGGATGAAAAGGGGTGGTGACACTCCTTATTCTTAATCCGTCACCACACGGACAAGAAGAAGATACAGAATATGAAATACCTATTGTAAATTTTTAAAAACACTTTATGTGAAACTTTTCAGGTGTTCGCCGACATGCATGGTAATGCAGTTCATTTGTTTGAAAGAGACTGTTCAGTCCAAAGGCGCCATCAAAAGATCATTGAGGAAGCACCAGCTGTAAGTGATTCTACTAAATAGCTACTTACGGTTTTAAGATTCCTCGCCCTTCCTTCCCACCTCTTCCTGGATCTAAAGCTGTGGACGCCCGCTCTGTAGATTGCACGTATTTAGGTTACAAACAATTTATAATAAAAAACGATGACTGCTGAGCATATTTACATTGTACTAAACAGAAACAGAACGGCAACATCGGAGTCATCGCTTTCTTACTGTCATAAGCGAAGCTATAGCTGAGATTTTATGTGAAAAATTTATTTCTTTAACTTCGATTGTTTTAATTTAAAAAAAAAATCAGCCAGGTTTATCAGAGGAGACTCGTAGGGCTATAGGAGAAGCTGCAGTACGAGCCGCTAAAGCTGTGGGCTACGTAGGTGCGGGCACCGTGGAGTTCATTCTGCACCGACAGACTCATGAATTTCACTTCATGGAGATGAACACTAGGCTCCAGGTCGAACATCCCATCACTGAAATGATTACCGGTAAGTTAAGCTCAGACTGCTGCCCCTTCTGTCGTAAATGACGTTTGTGTTTCTATTCGTTTTATTGCCGATGTGAACCTAATGTAAGTACAAGGTATGTCCGTAAGTATTTATGTAATGTAACTTCATTAACCGTGGGAGAGCCATGCGTCGGCATAAATGGACCAGCTCGATCGGAGTAAAACAGATCGGTTTCACAGAAAATACTGTGACTGTCAGATGCCCATGGATGGTGGCACTCATTTACCATCAGTTGACCCATCTTGATGTAGAATAATAATAAAATAATAATAAAAATTCTTTATTTAAAACTAAAAACACAGATTACAATATTTCAAATGTGTTTGATAATGACTGCATTAGTGAAACACTGTGGCGCAGTCACTAACGCCCACCTTTGGATCTGATGCAAACGTTCCATTATATTCTACCACATTACAACTCTAAAAACTAAGCATGTGGAGTAAAACGTTGGGGATTTGAAAGTGTGTGTGTGTGTGTGCACGCGTGTGTGTGTGTGTGTGTGTGTGTGTGTGAGAGAGAGAGAGAGAGTGTGTGTGAGTGTATCTGTGTGAGCGTGCCTGCGTGTGGGAGTGCATGTGAGTGTGCGTGTTGCGTTATATAATAGATGCGACTAAGTCTTCGGTGTCTTCGTAAGTTAGACCAAGCAGCCATTCAGTAACTCGCGATTTACATTCTCGCGTAATAGTGGGATAAATGTTAAAAAATTTATTTACTTTGTTATACAATGAGGGGGCAAAGAAGTAGAAGTGTCGCTTAGCAAGTTGCGTTTTACACGATTGTATTATGCAAACTTTATCTATTCTGCGTTTTTCTATATTAGGAATATAAGGGAGATCTGCGTGTTTACGAAGTAAAACCGTTAATAAGAAGAGCTTTCTTACTGTTAAAATTTTCAACTCATGGTATAGCTGAGATGTAGCGTACCATATGGGCTTAAATGACATGATTTTTCATACACCTGTATGAGCTCTTTCGAGAGTAAGGAGTTTGACTTTACCTGCACAGCCCCAGGCCGCGATACAATATCCTGTCACTGACTGTACCAACGCCAAAAATATAATTTTAAGTGTAGGGAAATCAAGAACCGAAGGCAGCCTCTTCAAAAGATACATGAGTTTTCTAATTCTGCAGGTAGTTACTTTTACATGTTCCTTCCAAGAAAGATGATTGTCAATCCAGACTCGAAGATATTTGACTCTGGATTCACAAGCCTATGTATGCCTGTCTATGCCATAAAAAGAATCAATAAGTAACTTTGTTTTAAAGGCACGGACTTGGTTGAGTGGCAATTGCGCGTTGCCGCAGGGGAACAGTTACCGTTGTCACAAGAAGAGATCATTCGCCGCGGTCACGCTGTTGAATGTCGTATTTACGCGGAAGAACCAAGGGCCGGCTTCTTGCCTCGTGCAGGCACCTTGCACCGACTGAGACAGCCAGAACCTGAAGAATTCGTCCGGGTAAGCTTACCTTGCCAAGTATATTACTCTAGTTATATAGCTACATTTATTGGTTTGTATTGTTGTCACACCAACATCAAACAGCGATCAACGTACAAATTACTTTCACGTTACCTACAAATAGTTCCTCAATTATAAACTTACTACACTGTTCTTTATGCGATACCTAGTGGTTTTTAGCCTCGCCTTCTCTCGCGCTTGGGTTCAGTTCAATTATATCTTGGAAATAGTACTTTATTTCGAGATGATCTGCTAAGCGTATCAAATAGGTTCGAATTAATTTTTATATTAATTATATGTGTATTAGTTAGGATTTATAAACATCTTTTAGCAACAGCGACATCTAACATTCCTACAGATTATAACTAAAAGTTCACAAATTAACCAGCTTTACTGGTTTGATAATGTTTCGGTAGATGTCGCTAGGTTTAGCGTAACCAATGCAAAGAGCGTATAAATTATAAAAGAAGCGAACAAGGCGCTATTGCATACGGTTGGTAGAGAGAGAAAGAAGATTGTTTTGGTCATGCATCTCTATCTGCTCTTGTCACTGTCCTTCAGTACAAGCCAATCAGAGCAGAGAGAGATGCAAGACCAAAACAATATTCTTTCTTTGCCTAATGGCCGTGCGCTACCACTTACAGAGGAATATACCAATGCCGTGTGGTGACGGATTAAGAATACAGAGTGTCACCACCCCTATTCATCCCGTGAGTGTCGTAAGAGCCGACTAAGGGAGAAAACTAAGCAGAACAACAGCACTGCAGAGAGAAGGAAAACTTGACACAAGCCCTATCTCCTTTCTCAAAATCTCCTTTCTAAGGAGAGGCCTATGTCCAGAAGTGGACTATTAAAGGCTGTTGATGTGTGTGATGATTGTATTAAAATTGGTTTACAAAACATTTTTTATTACCATCGTACATTAAACTTAACTAGACTAGAGGACCTAAAATTTCTGCTTTTAATTATACAATTCATGAACAGATTTGATAAGTTTAGTAAGATAAGTAAATACCTAAACTAAGATCTGTGAAGAGGATTGATCCCCTAATATACGAACAACAAATTTTACTTTGCAAAACATAAGTTTACAAGCACAATATTAAGAGGTTTACTGTGTTATTTTAAGATATCGTAACTGTAGGTTTTCGTTAATGTTCTCATGTAAGTGACAAGTCTTTTTGAGAAATAAAGATCTTTAAACCGAACTGGAGCTGAAATGTTCTAGAGTGGAGACCACGATTAGGCAAACGTCGTATGTGTATTGCGCCTTGCGGCACGATGGACCGACGACTTGAAGAAAGTGGCTGGCAGCGGATGGATGCAGAGTGCCTTCGTTCAGCAGTGGACGGCGATAGGCTGATGATGATAATTTCATTAACTCAATAGGATTTATTTTTCCGTAGGTGGAAACAGGAGTGCGCCAAGGCCAGGAAGTGTCAGTCCACTACGATCCCATGATCGCAAAGCTGGTAGTGTGGGGTCGCGACCGCACAGAGGCTCTTGCTAAAACCAGAGCTAAACTCTCTGAATACCAGGTAATATGGTTTATAATTATTTTCCAATCGAATTTAGAATATAGTATGTTTTAGTTAAGTTTGATTGTTTCACTTTTATAGTCCTAATGCTATAAACGATAATCACTCAAAACTTAAATGACTAAATCAGAGTAGCAAAGTTTCTCCTTCAATTTTAGAATCAGATACAAAATTTCGTTGCCTTTAGCCGGTCACTATATACCTATGCGATTATGTGGTTATAAATAAATAAATAAATGTATGTATTTAACAACATTTGTTTTGATCTCTTAGGTGGCTGGTCTCGAAACGAACGTAAACTTTCTCCTTCGCTTGAGTGGAGCTAAAGCTTTCGTGGAAGGAGACGTGCACACCGCGTTCATCCCACAACATGAGCTGGAACTGTTCCCGAAGTCTGACTCGGTACTCTCTGAGGACCGCGCTATACAGGCCACACTCGGACATGTAAGTAGCACTCTGTTAGTATTTATGTTTTTACAGTATAAAAAATATTGACGCATCGATCAAGCCCCGCATCCTGACCAATCAGGTTCTAAGCTTACGTACGAAACGATAACTTTTTGAAACCGGATTGAGGGGGGGCGTCAGTATTTCTTGCAACTAATAGACTATAATAATATTTAAAAATTCTCAATCTTGATTCTACATGTGACGTCGTTATTGTCCCTTAGTTGCTTAGCAGTCAAGTAGCCAACACTACAAACGATAGCTGGAAAGGTATCGCAGTGGCACCGGAGGGATGGAGGCCGAACTACCAATTAAAGAGAACTATACCGTTGAGGTTCGACGAAAAAGGTACATTTATTTATATATAGGAATATTCTATCGCCTTTAATACTCGTAGTCCACTGTCGGACATGGGCTTCTCCTTAGAAAGGAGGTTTTGTCCTACAATACCCCTCTGTCTACCTTTTGGAAATAAAGACGTGATTGTGTGTGTATGTATTAGTTATCCCATCATCTAATTGTTCCAGATCTTTCAGTGACAGTAGAAAACACAAGCAAACACAACACGTACCGTGTGCAAGTGAACGATGGAGAAATGTACGAAGTAGAGGCGTCGTTACAGCACACCGAGAAAGGTTTACGACTCAATACATTGATAGGGGACAAGAAGAGTAATGTGGGACTGTTGACATATGATCAACAAGTACACGTCTATGATGAGGTGAGGCTGGTTATCTTAAGACATAAGAGAGACCTATTTCTTAGCGTTCCATGAATTCGCGCGATAGATGGGGTAACACATGTGGCTTCGACAGCGCCTGAGACTTGCGACCCAGGTACAGGTTAGGGAGTACTCCTTGTGACGCGCCAGCACTCACCTTTCCTGTCTGCTGTTATGACACGGCAAATTTATAATGTAATTGTAACAACACAATGTTTGAGTTTTATATAAAAACTAGCTTTTGCCAGCAACTTCGTCCGCGTTGTGGTCGACATCAGATATCATAAAGGATACGCTGCTACCAAAAATAACGAAGTTTCATATGAATTTCCAACCCTATTTTGCACCCTTGGGGGTGGAATTTTTTTAAATCCTTTGTTAGCACACCTTCGTCATCTTCGTAAGATTTGTGCAAAATTTCATGATTCTAGACCCAGCGGTGGCAGCTGTGCGTTGATCGATCAGTCAGTGAATCAGTCTGTTAGTTTCTTCTTTTATAAATATCGATATATAGAAAATGTGATAACTTGATCGTTAAAGGCTTCCCTCTTAGGCGAAGAATTCATCTTTTGACGACCTCTGTAGCGACGGCCGCGTATGCGACTGCCTAAGTTCGCAGATTCGATTCCTGCGCTTAGTGCAAATATTTAAATTCATGAATATGACAATTTGTATTAGTCTGAGTGCTTTTTTGAATAATAAGTACAAATATTTAAATTAGTGTTATTATTATTTACAAAATAATACTCCATGTTCTAGAACTTATAGTATTAACTCTGCTTAGGTTGAGTCTAATTAACGATGTGTAATATGTCCCATTTTATAGATAATATTATGTTTCTTGTTTTGTTTTAATAAATCATTGTTTGTTGTTTTTCTTAATAAAACAAAATTGAAATAATCTTCTGACGCTGTTAGTGTTGATTCTATCAAGAATAAACACAACTATTTTAAAAGATGAACCCAAAATATTTTGACATTATAATGTAGTGGCGACAACAACCGCCCACTCGTGTCGTGAATTAGTTTATACGATTTTTTTTCTTTTTATATTCTTGTTGAAGAATGGACAGACAGTAGTGGAGTTGCCTCGACCTAAATTCCAAGCGGCCAGTGGAGCAGACGCAGCAGCCTCGGCCAACAGCGCGTCGTCCCCCACGCCGGGAATACTTGAAAGGATACTTGTCAACAAGGGAGACAAAGTGAGTTGTCATATCATTTTTTTTTTCTTTTCTTTAAAAAAAGACAACTCCCTCACTAGGAACATATCCTGTATCATGTAGGACTTTACAAACATATATGAAACGGACACAATAACGCCTAGACTCAGAACATTAATTTGTGTATCGCACAAAGTATTACCCCATGCGGGTTCGAAGTCACATACACTCCGCGCAGTAGGAAGCGGCGAGGCGACCGATTAAACCACTACGACATCCGTCCAGTCAATACAGTATGTCATTTATTATGTTAGGTGTACGGAGAGTAAAGTTTAAGGAAAACCGACTACCGTAATGACGAACACCGATACCAATTGGGAACGTAACTTGAACAGGAAAATTTGAGATATATTAAGCAGATGAAATATTTTTGTGTATTTATTTACCCTTTAGTATACTTAATATTTTACCCTTTAATTGTTTGACAAAATTATTTTTGAAGTAAAACTTCTTTACGTCGCTTGACTTGGGGAGTAAACTGGGGAATGCGTGACGAGAGCGTTACGAAACTTGTAATCGGTCGAGGCGAACGGAAGTTGAGAGTTACGTATCGTAAATTAGAGAGAGAGACAGAGAGTTACGTATCGTAAATTACTGTCGGGGCAACAGAAAGAGATGCGGGCACACATTTTCTTTCTCTCTTTCTCTCACAGCCAAGAAGTTTTACTTCAGTAGCGTGGTCTAAAAAATACTCGTTTTTTTAACTTAGTGCTCTTTGTTCAATGGGTGTAAAGTTCGCATTACAGTACGTATTCCTAACTAAACTGTTATGTTTACCCCACTGATTAGAGTCTTGATCGTGAGTGACATTATAATATTACAATGATAGAATATTTTTATAATGTCATTTTCACGCAGTCAGGCTTTTTGTTTTTTTTTTTAATAAATACAATCCAATAATAAAATTTAAATGTAAATTAAAAGTAACTAATATAAAAATAATAAACCGATCATAATAGGCCAGTTGACTCCATTTGAAAACTTGGTTAATTATATACCTTAATATCTATTTTATCCCAAAAAACCTACATATATATTTTAAAGAAAAAGCAATATTTACATTACGTTTTTGTATTTATAAAAACAATTAAAATTTCCCTTGAAAACGCTAAATAGTATCATGGCGTCTTTAATGACGTCACAGTCTGCGAAACAAAACTGTTTACCTGCTCTGTTGTATGAAAACGTCAACAACATAACACATTGTTATTACATGTTAACACTTTCTGATTGGTGTTGGCTGTCACGTGACTTAATGCCTATTTTGTTCGAATCTATTTTTTAAAATATTAATAGTCTTTCACTTTTATGAGAAATAGACTGGTTTTTTCTTATCTATGTCTCTTCATTTATAATTTGAAACTAGAAACCAAGCAATTTGTTATTAGGGGACTATTCTCACAGAATTTTAAACATGCAAACAAAGTCGTCGCCTATCTATCCGCTAACAAATCATTGGTTGGGTCGACTTAGGATTGGGGTAGGCTTCACAGTATGTGGTGGACGGGCGCATTGAGGCGCTGGGCTTACGGGTGGCCCTGGATAAGACGGAGGCCCTATTATTCCATGTACCCCGTCGTGGTCCACACCCGGTGCCTCAATCGTGGTCAACTCGGTCCGCGTACCGGTTCAGGCTCAAATAAAATATATGGGACTGATCCTCGACGGGAGGTGGCTCTTCGACGAGCACTTCCGACAGCTTGCTCCAAAGCTGGTAGACGCTGCGTCTGTCCTTGGGCGACTTTTACCCAATTTTACCCAGCGTCGCAACAAGACGGCTGTACACGGGGGTTGTCCGGGCAATAGCACTGTACGGTGCACCGGTGTGGGCGGCGGCTCTGACGGCCCAGAATAGGGCACGCCTATGGCGCCCTCAGAGGATATTGGCGGTTAGAGCCATACGCGGGTACCGCACCGTTTCGACGTGCGTGCGCATTGGCTGGCACTACGGCCCCCGTGGGATTTGGAGGCGGAAGTGCTCGCCGAAGTATATCGGCCCACGGCTGAGCTCCGGCGGATAGTGGCAGTCGGCCCCGTCCGAAGAGATACGCGAGTGGCGTGAGGCCGCTCGTCGAGCCACGATGGCTCGTTGGTCGTCCCGGCTGGGGGCTCCACGTGCTGGCTTTGCCGCCGTGGAGGCGCTCCAGCCGGTCATCGTCGAGTGGGCAGGGCGGCAGCACGGGACCCTTTCTTTCCGGCTGACGCAGGTCCTTGCCGGGCACGGCTGCTTCGGGAAGTACCTGCACTCGGTCGCTAGGAGGGAATTGAGTCCCGCCTGTCAGCACTGCGATTGCAGTGAGGACTTGGCTCAGCACACGCTGCCAATTTGCCCGGCTTGGGCGCCGCTTCACCGGGTCTTCATTGCAGTCATCGGAGTTGATGTCTCGCTACCGGCCGTCATACGCTCCATGACCGGTAGTGACAAATGTTTAACCGCGGTCGCATCCTTCTGCGAAGACGTCATCTCGCAGAAGGAGGCGGCGGAGAGGGCCCGTGAGGACAACCTCCACTTGGTCCTAATCCGTCGCCGTCGAACCGGGCGGCGGAGGCGCACCACCGCCTCATGCCGCCCTGAGTGTGGCCGCGGGTAGACGGGACCGGTTTTCCCCTCCACCCGCCATAACGGCCAGCCGCGAGGAGGCTACGCCCGCGTGAGCCGGACGTCGCCTAAATAGAAAATGTACAAGAAGGTGGTGCCCGCGCCGTTGCAGGCAGGCGCTAGGAGGGGTCCGGATGTCTTAATAACAGCAGTTCCCGGATCCCTCCTATTACAGTGGCACACCATGTGGTTTTAGTTGGTCCGATTTCGACACACCAGCCCGCCGCAAACCCCGGCGGGGTGACGGCCCGAAGGGGTTTCTACACGTAAAAAAAAGGCTTCACAGAATGTAAAACTAATGAGGATGAGTTAAACAGGAAAACAGCAGAGTATTCGGCGGTTTCCTTGTTCCCTAGTTATTGTCCAATGCCGACCTTATCTCGTGTATAATTACAAAACATTGCAATTCACAAATTTACCTATAACGACAAATAAATTGATTTATTATATTTTTATAGTAGATATAGCTTAATAATAGTGGGTTTTTAATGTTTTTGTCTTCTGTAGGTATAGTTATAATTAAATTGTTGCGAATGCTAAATTTTTTTTGTAAAATTATGTATTTGTGCCTTACGCTATTCACGCGGTCTATTCATGTGTACGAAAAAGATCTAAAATGCTAAAATATGACCACACTATTTTATTACTCTGTATTATTAGAAATGATAAAGAATAAGAATTCCTAAAAGTAAATTACATGTAAAATACCGAATGGCCCAAGTACCAAGCAGTTATATCATCATCATCATCATCAACAGCCTATACTAGTCCACTGCTGGACATAGGCCTCTCCTTGGAAAGGAGGTTTTGGCCTACTATACCACGCTGGCCAGACGGGTTATATACCTATATTAAAATGAGACAATTTAAATTAGAAGCAATATTATATTCTAAAATGGATTAAACATAAGTTAAAAATAAGTATGACAAGACCATTTCCGTTCGAGCTGTGAAGTTAATGCAAATAGTAGTTAAACATCCATTTGAATGCTTGTTTCAACCTCAAGTATAATCATGGGTCCCGATACGATTCAATTATAACTAAGAGCGTATACAATAGTAACATTATGTCAGGAACAATTAAAATGTATTTATTAAGTAATTAATGCACAAACTGTATTATTTCGTGCTGATGATACGAATATTTTTCGTTGTTTTTTATCATCCTTATCTATTAAACACTGTGGTTGACACTAACCGTTAGGTGACACGTCTGCTCGTTCGCCTTTTTATACCGTAAAAAAGAAAAACCTACTTCTATTCAAGTCCCTATTATTATGAAACTTGTCAGTTTCTTAATTTAAGTTTCCTAAGTACACTGGACGAAAGCAACACTGTCGTTGTAAGGTCTACAAGCAACAATAAGTACAAAGGGTCCTCTTTTTTTAATGCCATTACTCTGAAGTTATTCCCGGCTGTTTTTGCACTCATTGTTTAAAATAGTTTTTGTGAAGTAAAGCCATAAGCCGGTATGTAAAAATAAATCTTTTTCAGGTAGTGAAAGGCCAGCCTCTCTTCGTGGTAATAGCAATGAAGATGGAGTACGTGGTTCGCTCCCCACGTGACGGTGTCGTAGCTAATCTCGCGCCTTTCAAGCTAGGAGATGCTGTCGGCAAAGGGACACAAGTTGTAATGCTGGAAGGAGATAGTTAAATTGACACCGTATCACTAAATACTGTTTGGACTCTCTTATGTACTATTTTGTAGATTTAAAAGTGCTGACTAACTGTTGGTATTGATTGCTAGAAAATTATTGGATCGGCTAAACCCTAAAAATTCTATAATTTTACAATACAACATAAAATATACATTTTTTGGTAAACTTTGGTAAATACCAAATAACTAGTTTTAACGATAAAAAAAATGATTACATGTAAAGGCATGCACTTCGTTTAACTTTAATATGATGATTAGAAAACAAAAATTTTACATCCAGTACAAAGGAAAATCTTAAACTTATTTAATTAATAATGTATTCCATTAGTTATGACTAGGCACTGCTCTTCTCAAGGGACCAATTTTATACGTATAAGCTTAAAATATACTAATCAGTCTGAAATATTTCAGACTTCACTCAGACTTTCGATAGGTTTACATTTAAAGTTATAAAATATTTCTGATCATGGTTTTGTCCCAAAAAAAAAGTTTAAACTTTTACTTATTTCTCGACTTATGACTATTATTTTCAAGTTAAGAAGCGTCTAATTAGGCTATACATGTCATTATTATTTAGATACGATAGCAAAATATTTTCCATGTGTTAAATATTGTTTGCTGTACGAGTATAACTGTGTTTGTATAATTTTGGTTACCTTCTTATTGAATATTATAGAATTTTTCTTTTAATATAATTCCTACAATTGAGGATAAAATATTTATTGTATAAGAATAATTATTATCTAACATTGATTTTATAATTTTTGTAAATGATATATATTTTTGTTAAATATACACAAGTTAATAATGTACAGGTGTTTTATTTAAAGTTGTACTTTTATTTGGGATATAAGGGGAGAAAATAAGGGATGGAGAAAAAATAAAGAATGTCCATCTTTAGCCATATTGAAATCGTTTCATGTGCCTTGTTTTTGCAAAATATCCGTAAGTACCAAAATGCATTTATACAAGACAAGCTTACCTACTTTAAATTTATTACAATTTGAACATTTACACAGTAGAATGAAACGAGAGCTTTCGTAAACCTGTCTGTGGACAACCCGCATACTACGACAAGTTCCTAATACCTACTTAGATATTTATACTAGTTCCTAAGTAAACTATGCTGATTAACTTAACGGATAACAGTCCAAATGACCGAAGCCTTATAAGGCACTTTCATTTTATTACTTAATAATTGAATATAATAATATAAATAAAATATAATTGAATATAATATCATCGTCATGCGCATTCGTTACCGCTACACCAGAGGATGTAGCTCAGGCGCTAAACTCTTTTTATAGTGGTTCTGCGGCGGGTTTGGACGGCATTCGTCCGGGGCACCTAAAGGAACTCACTTCTAGGGCGGCGGGCGAAAACGGGCAACGTCTGGCCAAGCTGTGTAACTTCTTACTTAGCGGTCAGTTAAACCCTGAAGTGTGTCCTTTTATGTATGGGGCTTCGCTTTGTGCCTTAAATAAGAAGGATGGAGGACTCAGGCCGATAGCTGTCGGCAGCGTTTTGCGCCGTTTGACTGCTAAGCTGGCCTGTTGTTCAGTTAGGGAGGAAATGGCCGAGTATCTACAACCGCACCAGTTAGGCTTTGGCACGCGTCGAGGTTGCGAGGCGGCTATCCATGCCACACGGACATACGTGATGGACCCTAAAAACTCTCGTTGCGTCGTGTTGAAGCTTGATATCCGCAACGCTTTTAATACCTTGGAAAGGGATGTTCTGTTAAGCGCAGTTAAGGATGAAATTCCTTCCCTCTATCCTTTCCTTCACCAAGTCTATAAATCTCCTTCGAACCTCTTTTACAATAAGGATCTTATTCTTTCGCAAGTGGGAGCTCAGCAGGGAGATCCACTTGGGCCACTCGTCTTTAGCCTTGCCATCCACAAAATCATTTCCAAGCTGGAGTCACCCCTAAACCTGTGGTACCTAGATGACGGTACTATTGGCGGACAGCCTGAGGTAGTGGCGAAAGACATTATGGTTTTGATCCCACGCCTCAAGGAGCTAGGTTTCGAGGTGAATCCAGCAAAGTGCGAGTTTTTCCCCTGCAGTACTGAAGCTCGCACACACTTTACACACTTTGAAATGTTCTTTCCAGCGAGATCACACCAGGTACCTTCAGCCTATTGGGCTCTCCCATTTTCCTTGAGGCAGTCCCTGAGGCCATTGCTGCCCGTTAAAATCTTCTCCTTGCCACTCGGGAACGTTTAAAGCATCTTTCTCCTCATGTTGCGGTTCTGCTGCTTCGTATGTGTTTCGCGGTTCCTAAAATCACGTACTTATTGCGGACTACTCCAACCTGGCTTTGTCCGGAGGCTGTCTCTTTGTTCGACGGTGCTTTAAGAGATACTGCTGAGTCGATCCTTAACGTTTCCCTTGATGAGCACCAGTGGATCCAGGCAGCTCTGCCAATAAGATATGGGGGTCTCGGATTACGGCGTGTGCTGGATGTTGGCTTGCCAGCCTTCCTAGCGTCGGCGCATGGGGTTGCGGACCTTGTCGCTGTCACACTTTCTCCAAATGATGATAGGGCGAGCATACCTTATGTGTCCGAGGCGGTATCGGCATGGTCAGCCGTCAACGCAGGTGAGCCATTTCCAGTGACCCTACACGTCCAGCGAGCATGGGATGACATTGGAGCTAAGGGACTCCTTAAACAAATGTTGGATACCGCTGGGGGTACCGATCTGGCAAGACTGAGGGCCGTATCGCAGCCAGAGTCAGGGGCATGGTTACATGCACTCCCATCGCCTCACTTGGGTACCTTGCTAGACGGCGACTCTTTGCGTGTGGCAGTGGCTCTCCGCCTGGGCTGCAGGGTGTGCGAACCACATAGATGCACCTGCGGTTCCATGGTGGGGGCCGATGGTCTTCACGCACTGAGTTGTCGTCGCTGCGCAGGTAGATTTTCGCGACACCGGAGGATCGCGGAGGATGCCGCTAGTAGGAAGCGATCAAAATACGCCGCAATGGAGACGCACTACTATTTTGTGCCTATTGCGGTGGAGACTTTGGGCAGTTGGGGGTCAGACGCGGGGCGGGTTATATGATCTGACTTAAAAAAAAAAAAAAAAATTATAATTGTAACTTTAATTGAATATAATATAAAAAAACATGTATCATCAAATCATTAATCATATAATTATATGTATAATATTTACGTAATATTTAGGTCACAACTCGTGAACTAAAATTACATAAAAGTGGGGAATTTTGTCTTACATACGAATATGGCATTATTATATCATCTTTACGTCAGGAACCCTACCTGTACCCTATACCGTAATCATATGACTTACTAATTACATAAATAATACAAAAAATTATGACATAACTTATTATATATAGTATATATATACATAATGATATATATAATATATATATATATATATATTATGAAAGAAATCAAGCTTCCAAAAATTACACTACCTACCTATAAACAAACAAGTCAAAATTTATTAAACTAACGAAATGATTTATTTTATGAGTATGTAGCTGTATCCTGCCAAGCTTCTGTGTGGCACGTTGTGGTTACATAGATGAAAAATTACATAAAAAATAAATAAAAACAATCTTTAAGGCGAGTTTAACATCTTGTCGTTATTTGAGCTTAATAAGTGGAGAACATTTTGAGTTTTTGAAGCTTACACAAACCAACTTAATTTTTAATAAATATAGATAAAGTTCTTTATAGTTAAGAGCAGAGAAGACGACTCAGGCGCCGGAAGTCGCAGAATGATCTCCGTCTCCATAAGCGCAGGCCTGAGGGTGGTTGGTGAGGCCATCTGTCACCCTAGCAGAAGCAGGCCGAGGCGGCGGTGATACGCGCTGCGGAGCGCGTGCGCCCTTTCGGGAGTACAAAGGGGACATAGGGGTTCCCACACAGGAGGGGTCATTTACACGCCGTAGATGGCCCGAGGTACGTTGGGGACGGTACGCAGGACAACAGCACTGCAAAGAGAAGGCAAACTTGAAACAAGTCCTATACCAACCATCGTGGCCAGCATGGTATAGTAGGCCAAAACCTCCTTTTTAAGGAGAAGCCTATGTCCAGCAGTGGACTATTAAAGGCTGTTGATGCGTTTGGGGTATCAGGGATTTCCTTCCTAGGGTACACCTGGTTCCCTGGCAACTGGTACCCGAGACGGCGTGCGGTTTTTGGTCGGTTGGGGTCCGACATCATCCGAGGGGATTTCCGCACAGGAAAAAAAAAAGAGCAGAGATTTTTTCTGTAAAAGTAATAGGTACTTATTTATGTCTTAAATTAAAATATAAAGACTTCCCTAGTAATTCTACAAAACTAGAGCCCGTTGTATTTTAACATACCTACTTTTTAAAAATTATCATTCTTATGATGTTAATCATAAGAATGATAATTTTTTCATGTTGCCCAGATTTATACTGTTTACTGTTTTTTTATTTTATTTTGATGTACACCACACCATTATCATATTTAAACCTTTAGGATATATTTAAAATGTTCTATTACAAACAAGTTATTCACTAGCTGCTTACCATAGATTTGTCACCGCACAAGCGTGTGTAGAACTTATAACAAAATTTAGAAACTTACACGTAGGGGGGGCGTAGCTCAGATGGTAGAGCGCTCGCTTAGCATGCGAGAGGTACCGGGATCGATACCCGGCGCCTCCATAGATAGCTTTTTTCTTTACTTTTCTTTTTTTGATTTATAAATGAAATTACAAAAGACCGCAACATTTTTTTTATTCTGATTGGTGGTGTTGTTTTTCCAAAAATCAAGTTTCCCTTCGTTATTATTTCTTTTATTTTCTATAGATACTATGTGTTTTCTATAGGTACTTGAATTACTTTATATTTTAATGTATTTGCGTATCAAGTAAAATGAAGTCTGTTTGCACTTAACTTAGTTGTGGCGATAACCTAACTCCTCCCTGAGCCTGTATGCCCAGCAGTGGGACGACATAATAAAAATGAAGATAATTTAAAAGCATCTCCGC